TGCTCCGCCGTGGTGGTCTACTGTCTGGTTCTGGTGGTCTTCTGCTCCGCCGTGGTGGTCCTTTGCTCCGCCGTGGTGGTCTACTGTCTGGTTCTGGTGGTCCTCTGCTCCGCCGTGGGGATCTTCGGTCCCGTCTGCTCTGCTGTGGTGGTCCTCAGCTCCGCCGGCTCTGCCTCAGTCCCTGGTCTCTCCTATCCTTGGACCTGGCCCTCCGTCCCTCCCCATGTTCCGCCTCCGCTCCACCGCCCACCTGGATCGTTTAGTGTTTGGAGCGTCTGGAAGCCGCTCCTTGGGGGGGGGGCATAGCACCCCGGACTACATATCCCATCATTCTTTGCACGATTTGCACACTGCACTCATTGCGCACAGCTGTTTCTAATCACCTCACTCACTATATAACACCCACTCTAACCACCTTTCGCTGCTGAGTATTGTTTAGCCTGTACCCGTTTCTGAGTCTCCGTGTTTTCCTTGTTTTGCCTTGCCTGTTTCTGCGGTATCTGATCTTTTGATCTGATCTGATCAGCAAGGGTAACTGCTATTAGGTTTAAAAATATAAATATTTTAAATGTCATGAGGGATTAATAATTTAACACAATTATCACCTTCAATTTAATTTTCTCATTATTATACCAAATCTATGTTTCTTAATGTCCTCTCACTACATCTAAAACAGTGTGTCCACAGAGAAGGGTTCAATCATTCATATGCAATAAAATGGATAAAAATGTTTTTTTTTAATGATGAAAAAGAGCTTGTTTTATCAAAAGCAACACTTAATAATATCTCCTATCAAAGCAAGGTTGTTTTTTAATGACACATGCATGTTTAATATGATTTTAAAGTTGCGTCCCCACTTTTTGTCAACACCGTCAGACATTCAATAAAATGTAATAAAATCAGGGAATATCAGGGGCAGCTGTAACTCTAAAGGACCCCCTTGCAACAGTCCACCTCTGCAGAGTACATCAGTGTCAGATAGGCTCTGCTAAGTTTTATAGTTTTAGAATATTTTAAATCCTAATGTTAATATTTCCTGTCACAGCCATGATATGTCAACACCATCTTCCAATTTCTGAGGAAATTATTTGAAATATTTAGATAATTTTATTTTCCTGAAGCAGGTTCCATTAGCATCTAGCATCAACAGCAAAAAATGAAATGGCTACTACATGAACTCCATTGGTTTTGTGAAAGAAATGTCAAATTTGTCAACACCGTCAGATGTCACCACCATAAGATTTTGTGTTCCAATGATATATCAAAATACTTAAACGTGACTCTTGAATAAAAGCTTTATAAACAATAACATACTCACTGTTTGTTTTAATACAGTAATTGACTGATTCAATGTATTTGATAGTTAAAATGACTACAAATTCAGGTTTTCGTCACCACCGTCAGATGTGTCAACTCCGTCAGTTCTGTCAGCTCCGTCAGTTGAATATTTTGAAATTTCATTATGGTATTTTATATTTGTTGTGGAATTATTGGTCACATGTGAAAGTGTAATCTGTCTGCTAACACGAGAATGTGTTTTGAAATGTTAAAAACATGCTGTTAAAGATAAAGCTGAAATTATATTACACAGTCCAAGCTAAAAAAAGCACATTTTGTTAAAAAAGAGAAAAGTTCGGAGGTTTTGTAAAGGGTTTGAACATTGTAAAAAAGGAACAAATTTCACCATGTTCACAATTTAATTTACATTATATAAAAGATTATGGATTTGTCTTTCATAGTTTGTTTTCTATGAAAGACAACTATTTAGCTCATGTTCTGGATTTTGGGTTTCAGTTAGATCATGTGCTCACCATAATAAGTCCGGTTCCACATTCTCTTTGTGACAGACTCTCCTGAAGGTCGACCATGTCCTTCTGCAAGACTATCATTTAGAGCACTGCAGTACAGCATCAGACCATCATAGAAACCACCTGAGATGATGTTCATCTGAAAGAATCAAATACACAAATGAATACAAAAATGAGCAAATTCATAATCATAACTAGGCTGGTCCTGATGGACGTTTTAGACTGATTTTCTCTATACAAATCTTACTTAGGATGTTATTATTCTGTTGATTTTTTAAATGTACCTAATCTGATCTGAATCCTTCATCAAATATTTGCCACAAATGAAAAATGAAAGTCAGACTGCGTGAGGCACAGGGTAAAGTGCTTCATCTCTTAATCTTCTCTCCCGATCCATTCTGATCATTTTACCCCCGCAGAGATCCATTTGCATGCAAATGAACAGAACTGATGAGGGATTTGCTTTTTTAAGGCACAGTCGTTGGAAAAGAGTTTTTCTCTTCATATTTCGCTTCACTCAAGCCCCCTGTCACATTCTAAATGTGAAATGGGACCCAGAAAAACACTTAAAGATGATCTGAGACTCAGGCCTCTCGATTACAATCCACGCTGAGGGGAAAATCCACAAAGCCTCAGATAAATTAAGACAGATGTGCTCAAATGGCTTGTTTGTCTGATAGAGAACAGTGATGAACATACAGAGTTCTTCTCAGAAGCACACCCGATCTTAAATGGCTCAACAAGCCCTGTTTTCTCTCACGTGTCTATGTGAATGTGTTTTTATGTGCGTTGTTTTGAGATGCACTGTGAAATAAAGGTGAAGATCCTGAATTTAACTAAATTACCTCTCTACATGCATCTTATACTGTATATTCCCTACTCTATTAAATTCAATTAGCAGAACCCACATTAACAGAAAAATGCATTATACACATGAGCTCCATAACTACAAACATATTTTCCTACATTAAAATGCATGAACTTTAGTCTCCTGATGGACGCTGTGAAGCTTAAATTTGTTTGACCAGAAATTTGCATGTGTATGTCACATTAATTTCATATTCTGGGCCTCACACATTCATAGAGATATATAATTACATTCAACCTTTACCGATGCAGCATGATTTTTGAAGAGAGCAAAAGTGCATTATAGCCTGTTTCTTTGTGCATTATTAAGTGAATAGAGGACTATTACAGGAAAAGCTGTAAACACAATGCATTTTGACTGAAAAAAACATTCATTTAATAATTTTGTGTCCCTTTAAGCTCTTTATGAGAGAACCCTGGCTGTAATAAAGGCACATAGAGTTTCTAGCAAGATATATATATAATAAATAATAATTTCAAGGGAAGAGAAAAGATGGAGAGCACAGTAGAGTCTTGGTAAAAAGGTTTTTAATACAAAACTAAAAATACTCCTGATGGACGCTGTGAAGCTTAAATTTGTTTGACCAGAAATTTGCATGTGTATGTCACATTAATTTCATATTCTGGGCCTCACACATTCATAGAGATATATAATTACATTCAACCTTTACCGATGCAGCATGATTTTTGAAGAGAGCAAAAGTGCATTATAGCCTGTTTCTTTGTGCATTATTAAGTGAATAGAGGACTATTACAGGAAAAGCTGTAAACACAATGCATTTTGACTGAAAAAAACATTCATTTAATAATTTTGTGTCCCTTTAAGCTCTTTATGAGAGAACCCTGGCTGTAATAAAGGCACATAGAGTTTCTAGCAAGATATATATAATAAATAATAATTTCAAGGGAAGAGAAAAGATGGAGAGCACAGTAGAGTCTTGGTAAAAAGGTTTTTAATACAAAACTAAAAATGAAATGAAAATGATATGTCACTTCACAATGATCTCTCTTACCAAAGAATCCTCCACTGTGAAGTTAAACATCCGTTTGGCATCCGATTTTAGATCACTGACAAACTCCTTGTACTCCAGATTCTGAGGCTCTAGGTAGGTCAGAATCTTCACACTCTGAAAAATAGACAAAAAATAGAAAATATGTCCTAAGAGTAAACTGTTTTAATATTTAATATTAATATTTTTCAACAGTCATTATTCCAGTCTTCAGTGTCACATGATCCTTCAGAAATCATTCTAAGATGCTAATTTTGGTGCTCAAGAAACATTTTATTTTCAGCTAGAGAAAAGATGGAGAGCACAGTAGAGTCTTGGTAAAAAGGTTTTTAATACAAAACTAAAAATGAAATGAAAATGATATGTCACTTCACAATGATCTCTCTTACCAAAGAATCCTCCACTGTGAAGTTAAACATCCGTTTGGCATCCGATTTTAGATCACTGACAAACTCCTTGTACTCCAGATTCTGAGGCTCTAGGTAGGTCAGAATCTTCACACTCTGAAAAATAGACAAAAAATAGAAAATATGTCCTAAGAGTAAACTGTTTTAATATTTAATATTAATATTTTTCAACAGTCATTATTCCAGTCTTCAGTGTCACATGATCCTTCAGAAATCATTCTAAGATGCTAATTTGGTGCTCAAGAAACATTTTATTTTCAGCTATGCTAAAAACACCTGTGCTACATAGCTTAATATGCTTGTGTAAACCATACCTTTTTCAGAATTATTTCATGACAAAAAAAAAGAGAGAGAACAGTATTTTTTTTGTAAAAATGTAAATGTCTTTAACAATCATTATTGATCATTTTAAAACAGCCTTGTGGTCCTTACTGGTGCTTGAACTTTTGATGGGTAGTGTATATTGTAAAATACATAAAATATTTTTCACTTACATAAAGTATTCAAATCTACTTTCTAATGCCCATCTTGTTGGTCAGTTCTGAGTGTTCAATTGTGGAAAATGCAACAGACCACCACAATCTGACTGGGACTCTAAAACATTCCTTCAAAACTGTGATTCAGACACCTGAATCCGCTCTTTAAAATACTGAAAATATGCTTGACTGCATGGTGCATTTGGATAAATGCCTGGTTTTAATGCTCTTCTCCATCATTTGATGAATAACTGCTGACTAACATCACATTAACAGACAAATCGTAATCAGATGAACTGCTAATATTCATAAAATCCTATCAACAAACATTTAACACCTTCTTTTCCTGACAGACTGAAGTATTTCTCTTATAATTCCCAACTTAAATAGGAATCGTTTGTTAATTTGGTCAGGTAGTAAAATTAAGAAAAAGCATAATTATTCAACATACTGCATGTTGTGTGCAAACATAATCTACCAAAGCTAAGCTCCAATGAGCATCAACATGTCCTGAATCTAACAGGACGTGCGTGGGTTCAGCAGCACGGTACTGAGTGTTGGAGTTCAGACTGTTTCTCACACTCTGCACAGAAACTCTTCCACTCTCAAAACAGGCGGCTGTAATCACAGTAGGAGCTGGTGACTGCAGTTCCTTGACACCAACCAAAACCAGAGTGACCTGCAGCGCATTTGATTTTGAGCCCCCTGAGACATAACAGTGATTGTTTTGTGTTTGAGTGTGTTTAAATGAAACACGTTGTTATTATGTCAGCAGACACACTAAAAGCCAGGCTTTTGTTAAGGTTCAAGTGACAAGAGAACAATTCTGATAAAAAGCTTCATAAAGATCCATAACTGTCTCTCTCCTCCTCTATCAACATCATCAACATAATCATTATTATCTCAAATTGAAAAAATGTACTGAAAAAATATATATATATACTCAATGACTGAAACTAAAAATGATTGTCTCCTGAAATTGTATCTCCTAATCTCTATTTGTCCATCATTTTCTCTCATGTTTAATGAAAGGCTTTAATCACCTGGAAGGCCTCCTTTGCAAAGACATCATCTGTGTCTCCTCTGGCCCACGGCTGAGAAGGCCTGGACTCCAAACTGCGTCCAAAGATGTCAATGTAGAAGAAGACATATTCCTCCTTAGGGAGACCTGCCCTGTGGAAGTGCACCATTAACTGCCGGAAAATATCCGGAGAACAGCATACAAACACCACTGTAATGAGAAAGAGAGAGAGAGAAAAAAGATATCGACATGAGAAAACTTTAGCCTCTTCATCATTCATATTTGCCTTTATATGAGATAGAAACTCAAATATAGCATTTTTTGCACTCCCATTAGCACTTTTACCAGAAATGACTTGGTAATCAATACCATAATGCCATTACCTCAGCGTCAATTTAACACATCCAGACAGGAATTAGCACGTGTGTGCATTTTTCTTCATGCGTGTAAATCTGTCTGTATGGTGCATTAATGCATTTATGGCTCTAAATGTGTCTGGACTGTCTGTTCTATGCTTTTAGCTTCACACGTCATACTGTACATGTTTTTCATGATTCATCCACACAGCATAATATTGTTTTCCTAAACAATATTTTTGCCTTGTTTTCCAGTAATAAAAATATCCTCAAAATATAAATTTATTTATACATATATACATACATTTATTTGCAAGATACATTTACATTTATGCAAAATTGCATGAAATACTAAGACTTGTTTTCAGGTAATATATATATTTTTTAAAAATTTATTTTTTTTTAATTTTATTTATTTACTTTTTTGTGAGGTTTTTGTTTAAAAAAAAAGCTAATGGGATTGGTCAATATAATGTATTTTCTTCTGAGAATAAAATATATGCTCTGAAAATATAATATCTTATGCAGTGTTGCTTTTCAAGTAAACTTATCTTGTTTAAAAGATGTTTAGATGTTTGTATTGGAAAATGAAAGAGAAATACTGATAAAGAAAATGATTTTTGCAGTGTAAATATAACCAGCAGAAACATTTTCATTGTTATTGAGTTAAATAGGATGTTTCATAAGAATGATAAGGAATAGGTTTTATATGAAATGGATGTTAAGCTTCTCCTCAATTTCTGATAATAAAAACACAGACAAGAGAAGGAACCACCTACAAGAAGAGAAAGAAATCTGGACAAGAAAACAAAATGCTTCATTAACTCTGATCAAATGAGTGAAGTGATCACAGAGACAGCAAGAGAAAGCAATAGAACTTGACTCCAGACCAGACAGTCATTTGCAGAGTGAGGGTAAATGCAGGTGACGTATGCTAACAGTTACGTACGTGTGTGTGTGTGTGTCTGCTGCTCAGTGACACAATGTGATAACGAACACAAGCTGAGAGATAGAGTTAGAATTTTAGAAGTGTTCTGTAAATGAACATCTACAGCGGGTAAAATAAGCATTGAACGCGTCACCATTTTTACATTTACATTTAGGAGACGCTTTTATCCAAAGTAACTTACAAATGAGGACAAAGGAAGCAATCAAAATCAACAAAAGAGCAATGATACACAAGTGCTATAACAAGTCTCAGTTAGCTTAACACAGTACAAGTAGCAAGTTTTTTTTAAAATCATATAATAAATAAAAAGAAAACAGATAGAATAGAAAAAGAAAAGAGCAAGCTAGTGTTATAGGCCTTTTTTGCTTTTGTTAATTGTATAATAAATAAAAAAAGAAAAGGAATAGATTGAATAGAAAAAGAATAGAGAAGCTAGTGTTTTTTTTTATTTTTATAAAAACAAGCAGTTAGTAAATGAATATAATGCTAGTCTAAAAGCGGCACGTTTTTTTTTAAAGACCAAAATTATAATTTTTCACAGTAAATATTTTTCTAAAGGTGCTGTTGACTTAAATTTTCACCAGATGTTGGTAACAACCCAACTAATCCATACATACAAAGAAAACAAAACAAATAAGTTCAGAAATTAACTTCTGTGTAATAAAATGCAATGACACAGGGGGAAAAGTATTGAACACATGAAGAAAGGGAGGTGCAAAAAGGCATGGAAAGCCAAGACACCAGCTGAAATCTATTAGTAATTAGAAAGCAATCCTGCCCCTAGTCAGTGGGAATTAATATTAGCTGGTTCAGTCCCAACACCTACAGTACCAGGATGATGAAGATGAAACAAGGGTGGACATTTCAGCAAGACAATAATCCCAAACACAGCCAAGGAAACTCTCGATTGGTTTCAGAGAAAGAAAATAAAGCTGCTAGAATATCCCAGCCAATCACCTGACTTGAATCCAATAGAAAATAAGAACTAAAGATCAGAGTTGAGGCCCACAGAAATGTCAAGATTTGAAGACTCTCTGGAAGAATGGACCAAAATCACACCTGAGCAATACATGCGACTAGTTTCTCCACACAAGAGGCATCTTGATGCTGTCATTACCAACAAAGGCTTTTGTAAGAAGTGTTAAATAAATTTCAGTAATACTCTCTCCGTGTCATTCCATTTTATTATACATAACTGAATTTCTGAACTTATTTGCTTTGTTTTATTTGTATTTATGGATTATTTGGATTGTTACCGACATCCGGTGAAAATGTCATGTCAACAGTACCTTTAGAAATATATTTACTGTGAAAAATGGTGACATGTCCAATACTTATTTTATCTGCTGTATCTATAAGAATCTGTGCCAATATAATGGAAAATGAGTGGGGAATATTATCAACCCATCCATCCATCTGAGACTGCACAAAGGCTATTTCTAAAAAAAAAAAAAAGGGTCAATTCTGCCTTTGCTATGACAATCTGGCGCTTCCGAATCAGCGACTGTACGTATGTTTTGTTACTAGTTTAAGTATTTGCTATTGACTGTTCAAATGCGGAGTTTTGCGCAGCGCAGGGTGATGCGTCGTGTGTGTGTGTGTGAGGGGAACAGGGTCACATCACAGGAGAGTGAACTGCCTGTCAGAAATCATAGCACGTCAGCTGTCTTAACCGCGGCTTGTGTACTGCATCATCACTGTGCCTGTCACGCGACTCTGTTGCCCTTTCGCTTGAACTGATGGTAAAACTAACGACATTATTAACTGTCTTGATATTTACTTTGAAAGCTGACGCTCACGATTATGGTAAGAGACGTTACATTTCTGACGAGTGCTTGTGGTGTTCGGCCAATCACAATGCACTGGGTCAGCTGGCCAATCAGAGCAGACTGCGCTT